GATACCTAATATTCTAAAATGGATTAGTTGAAACAACATGTTACCAAAGTAACCTCTCTTGTATAAATTAATTTATTTGGAATATTACGATGATTGTTTGTATGTAATTCATGTGGGTGTTGACTGGCCCAAAAGAATGTTAATATTTGGTCAAATTACATGCACACCCGCCATAACAAATATGTGGCAATTATAAAGTTTTTCCGTTATGTAAAGAATATGTCGATTTAAAGATAGACTTAATATTTGACAATATTTGATTATTACACCAAATGTACTACTTACAAGTTAATATTTATGTCCAAAAACTAAATGTCAATATTGTATTCTGTCTCTTGTGATGGGGTACACAGTTATTTGAATATTTTGATTGTTCAATATGGATTCTCAGGTGAGCATGTTATTTTATTTTTTTGTTCTCTATTCAGTTAATGCATCTGCTTTTGCCATATCTGCTAGCATCAACTAAATTTCTATGCTTAATGGAACCAATTTTAAGAATTGGAAAGAGAACGTTCAGATTGTTATTGACTACATAGATCTAGACATTACGTTAAAGACTGAACAACCCACTATACTTACGGAAAAGAGTTTCACTGATGAAAAATGGGACTCGAATAACTCGGATTGTTTAAACCTTACGAATCTTATGATCATAAAGCGTGGAATTTCAGAAACATTTAGGGGCACTGTGTTCGATAAAGTAATTACTGCTAAGGAATTTCATGAAGAAATTGAGAAATGCTTTGCAAAAAGAGATAGTGCTAAAACCAATACGCTTCTGACGAACTTGGTTTCAATCAAGTCTAAGGGTAAAAGAAATATAAGGGAGTACATCATGAAAACGTCTCATCTTGCTTCAAAGTTAAAGCACTAAAGTTGATTTGGTCGTGCCTTTAGTTTTAATTTCTCTTCCCAAATAATTTAGCCAATATAAGTTTATTTACAACTGTCAAAATGAGAAGTGGTCTCTTAATGAGCACATTTTTATTGTGTGCAAGAAGAAGAAAGTCTGAAGTAAAGGAGGACTGAAAGTGCTCAATTGGCAAATATCTTTGAGGACAAGTTCAAAAATTGAAGACTAAGGAAGCTACATCTAGTCCAGTTCAAAATAAACAGCAAAGCATGAAAAGGAATAATCATCTGGCTGTTATTTTTGTGAAAATTCTGAACACATGAAAATGGATTGTACCAAATACCACGCTTGGTATTAAAGAAGGTACACTTCTCACTTTAATTTGTTTTAAAATTAAATTAGTTTCAATACCTAAACACACTTGGTAAATAGATTATGGTGCTACTACTAACATAAGTGTGTTCATGCAGGGTTGTCTGAACAACTGAAAGCTAAATGTTGCTAGAAGACTCATCTATATAGGTGATAGTAAATCAGTTGAAGTTGAGGCTATATAGACTTTTAGATTATTAGTAAAAACTGATTTTTATTTAGATTTGAAAGAAATATTTGTGGTACCGTCTTTTAGACGAAATCTGTTTTCTATTTTTGTATTGAACAAATTCGATTATTCTTGTTCTTTTAGGAATAATCAGTTTAGTCTTTTTCTTAATTCAAATGTTGTGGTCATCGGTTCTTTATTTGTTTATGATAATCTATATTTGTTTAATACGTTTGCTTCATATAATGAGACATTGCATGTGAATTTATGTTATATTATACGTAAATTAACCAATGAGAATTTCGCTTTGTTATGAAATAAGCGATTAGGTTACATCTCCCAAAAGAAAATTAAAAGCCTGTATTAGATAAAATTATCCCCTTAATTTTTCAGACTTAAATGTTTGTGTTAATTGCATTGAGGGAAACAGACAAACATAAGGATATTATGGACCAATAGGACTTTAGACATCTTAAAACTAATCAATATGGATATCTATGAGCCATTCTCTCCGGTTTCTTAGTGGTCAACAGTTATTTATTACATTCATAGACGATTTTTCATGTTATGACTAACGGTATCTCATTCATGAGAAGTCTCAATCATTAGACATGTTCAAGGCTGACATTGAAAATCAACTTAGCAAAAGAATTAAACATGTCAGATCTGACTGTAGTGGTGAATACTATGACAGATATGACGATTGATGAACAACATCTAGTACCTTGTGCTAAATTTTTAGAGGAATGTGAAATTTTCTCACCATACATCATGCTAGGATCCCTTACATGAGAATTGCTGAGAGACGAAACAAAACACTTAAGAATATGGTAATGAGTATGATTAATCATTCCATCTTACCAGAATCTCTTTGGGGAGAAGCACTAAAGATTAGAGCTTACATTCTCAATAGAATTCCCAGTAAAGCAATTGTCAAAATCCCTTTATGAGCTTGGACACGCAAGAAGCCTAGTTTGAAGAACTTGTACATCAGTGGTTGTCAAGCTGAGGCAATATCTTATAGGCCAAATGAAAAGAAATTGGACTCTAAAACTGTCAATTGCTATTTTAATGGATATTTTGAAAGGTCAAAGGGTTAAATAGGTCAATTTTTTTGAAACGAAAAATGTCATGTTCTTTGAGGGTGTGGAGTTTGCGGTATGGATTTTTTCTTCGAGGAGGAATATGTAACTATTTCTTCTGTTGCCATTAACGATCATCATGATCAAATACAAATTTATGTTCCTGATCTTGTTCAAGAAGCAATTCTAGATCAAGACAATATTCCAAAACCCTTTGTTCAACATCAAGAAATTGTTCTAGAAGAATAAACTTAATACCTCAAGAACAAATACTATTAAAGAGATCTACTAAAGATATGAGAAAGGCAATTCCAGATGATTTTATAGTCTATTTCCAAGAATATAAGGATAGATTGATTGGTAAAAGAAGATCCAATCAACTTTCATCAAGCCATGCAAAAGACCAATTCTCAAAAGTAGATTTATGCCATGAATGAAGAGATAAAATCCATGGCAGACAATGAAGTTTGGAAATTCATCCTATCGCTCGAAGGTACGAAGCCCATTGGTTGTAAATGGATATTTAAAACCAAGGGCGATGTGGAGATATATAAGACTCGTCTTATTGCGAAGGGCTTTACTCAAAGGGAAGACATTGACTTTAACTAGACTTTCTCTCTGGTTTAAACGAAAAACTCTTTTAGGACAATTATGGCACTTATGACACATTTTGATCTTGAACTATATCAAATGGATATAAAGACGGTGTTTTTCATTGGTGATATTGATAAGATGATTTATATAATACAATCGAAAAACTTGTATCTGGAGACCCAAAGAAGATAGTTTGAAAATTAAAGAAATCCATCTATGGGTTCAAGCAAGCTTCCCATTAATGGTCTCACAAATTTCATCAAGTGGTTATCTCATTTGATTTTCAGATGAATGTAGTTAATGGTTGTTACACCACAAGTTCAGTAGGATACATTTTTTCTTGGTATTGCATGTCAATGACATACTGTTTACCTGCAATGATTTAGACTTATTGCATGAAACTAAGAGATTTCTGTCTAAGAATTTTGAAATTAAAGATCTTGGTGACGCTTCTTTTGTATTAAGTATACAAATACACCGGGATAGCTCTCGAGGTATTGTTTGATTGTCACAAAAGAGCCATGTTGATAAGGTTCTTAAGAGGTTTGTTATGTAGGATTGTAAACTATGTGATATCCCTGTTGTTAAGGGAGACAAGTTTAGTCTCAATCGGTGCCCTAGAATGACATTGAGGAGAAAGAAGTGTAGAAAATTTATATGCGTCAGTAGTTGGGAAATGTATGCTCATATTTGCGCACGTTTGGATATAGCATCCATTATTGAAATGTTAAGCAGATATTTAGGTAACCCTCAAAAGGGATCATTGGAAAGTTAAAAAGGGTTATGCGGTATTTACAAAAAAACAAATTATTACATGATCAAATACAGAAAATTAGACTAATTGAAGATCATTGAATATTCTGATTTTCATTTTGCTGGATGTCAAGATAGTCGAAGATCCACATGGAACTACGTCTACCTACTGGCTGGAGGAGCTATACTGTGAACGAGTGCCAAAAAAAGTTGTAGCTTCTTCAACCATGGCATCATAGTTTATAGCATGCTATGAGACATCCAATCATAGACTATGATAGTAGAATTTTGTCATTTGGCTGCAAATTTTGGATGGAATTGATAGACCACTCAAGTTATTTTGTGAAAATAAATTAGTTGCTTTATATTCCAACAACATCAAGAGTTTGATGAAGTCTAAGTTTATAGACATCAAATTCATAACTATAAGGGAGAGAGTTCAGAGTGATCATATTACCATATAACATGTTGGCACAAACTCTATGATAGCAGATTCATTTACTAAAGGGCTACTACCCAAAGTCTTTCATGAGCATACTACTCATAGGAGTGGGCAAAACCCAAATCAACCTGAGTAAACCGCCTGACCCGACCCGACCCGACCCGACCCAACCTAAACCAACTGGTTTTAGTCATTTTTTTTCTTTTTTTTGGGTGGGTTTCGGGTTTTGGGCTCTGTAGTTGGGTCGGGATATGGGTTGACAACCCAAACCCGATCTAACCCGACACAACCCGACCCGATTACATTTAAAAAAAAAAGAAGCAAAACCATGTTAAAAACAAAACCCTAAAAGGCTAAAAGCGAAAAGACCCAAAATGCATGTCGCCTCTCCAGACTCCACTCCAACCTTCAAGCTTTCTACACCACTCTCTCCACTCCAGCCTTCACATTTAGCATGGCCTGACATGGTTGCAATTGCAAAAAATTGAGGAGGAGAAGGCATTTCTTAATCAACGAGAGTCAACGGGTAAATCTTACTTTCACTTTAATCTATCTATTTCTATTTTTTTATTTTTGCCATATTATTAGTAGGTTAGGTTAGATCTTTGAGTTTTAGCTTTCTTTGTGATCTTAAATTCATTTAATATGTTTTCCTGATTCGAAATTTCTGTCTGCTGAAATTTTGCGTAGATTAAGTAAAGAATTAGGTGAATTTGGAAAAGGAGTGATAGAATGCGAATGGTAGGTCACTATTGGTTAAGGAACCCTAAGCTCGCTCCGAAAGCTTTCTTGAAGCTACAAATCGAAAATATGTTAGAGCAAATCTGCGAGTTCGCTGACCAAGTCATCAGTGGCAAGGTTAGTTGTCCTTCTGAATGTATTGCCATTTCCTTTTCTGTTGATTCTGTATTTCTCCTAATTGTTCATTTTCATATCTAATTTGATGGAGTTGTGATTATGTGTGTTTATGCTTTAAATTGACGTCAAAATTTTGAAGGAGTTTTGATTCTGTCTTTGCAACCAATGGAGATTCCAGTGAGCTTTGCATCTGGAATTGCATTTCTGAGCTCCTTAAACTCCTGCATCTCATTATGAAATTTATTAAAAAAAAAGATTCTAGTATTTGCAACAGGATTTCTTGTAAATGAGGTGGTACATTTGGATTTCTTCTGTCTTTTTTTTTCATGGTGTAACATGTATTTAGTATTTACAGCAGGATTTCTTGTGCCTTGATTATGCAGTCCTTATACAAAAAAAAGTATACCGATCATGTTAGTATAATAGAAAATT